GTGGGGGCGGTCTTCTTTTATACTTTAAAATCCAGGAGCATGTGAAGTTGACAGGACAACTGACAAAGATTCAACAACAAAAACTAATTATGTACATGTCTTAGGTCCAGGCCACATTGATGCCAATGAATGCTACTGGTGTATTATGGTGGGTGGGTCCTAAGTGGGTAATCAGGTATACTTGGGATGATTTTATTACCAAAAAAAATAAACTGACAGGAAAGAAGCCTGCAAACCACTGGAGATAACCAGTTTATAATGTTGATAGTTCTGAATTCTCACCCATTTCCTTGAAGGTTTTTACCAGGCTATATGAAACCAGCTTTGAAGGGTACACCTCGCCAAGCTGAGATCCTCAGGGACAATCCCATTCTTTAAATTGTTTTGCACCCTAAATGAGTATGTCATGAAATAATATTCAATCCTGGGGCTGATATTAAGCTAATCAAGCCAATTTCCTAATAGGTCAATACCAATACCTAATTGGTATTATTTTAATCCTATTATAACTGCTGATAAGACACAACTTCTTGAAGTACTAGGAAAAAATCTCAAGAGCAAGAATTATAGAATGAAAAATCTCCACAGCAACAATAGAAATATAACAACTTGCTCTAAATCCCTCATTACAAAATCAGAATACTAACATTGCACCCAAAGATGCTATTGAAATCACCTGAATATCTTCTCTTATCTTTATTTTCTAACATTCCATCCAATGTAGACCTAGCAGATGAATGAAACAATTCCTGGATTTCCTTTCATCTCATCCCTGTAATGCTTAGGCAGATTTAAGCTCTATGGACAAATTAAAGAACAAAAGATTACCTCACAACAATTTGAACAGAAAAAGGTACACAAAACTTCAGTTACAAATGAACCTCACACACATGGATCTACAGCAGGTTGGGCTATTGTTAAGAGTTAGAACTTTGGGAAATGAGTTTAGGTCTATTTGAATGTCCTGTTCTGCTTCATTTCTGATATCTGAAATTATAATCTTTGCATCAGAAATAAATACTTAAACAAAGAACATAAGAGTAACTTGAATGCTTCTCTTGAACAAACTGGATCACATTAAAGCACAAAAGCACAAAAGATAGGAAGTGAAGCTATTCGTATATCCTGTTTTCTCTCTCCTCATCCTCCAATATTGAAAGTTGAAATTACTTCAGAGCAGAGCGAGAAGAATATTTCCACAATGAGAAAAAATATGTGGGCCCACTTTCTCTAGACTAATTTTGACTTCTGGACAGATTAGAAATAAAATAAACAAAGAAATACAATACAGAGGGAGAAACATTTTCTATTTCCTGTAACTTTCTTCCACAGTCCTACATTTTATGAAGGAACACCCCACCCCGCTACCTTCTTCTTATTTTTTTAAATTAAAGACTTTGCATCTGATTTACATCAACAAATTTATTTTCCTTTTCTACTTAAAAAGCACTTATAGTTGCCATACAGCAGGGTTGTTCAAACTTGGGAACTTTAAGACTTGTGGACTTCAACTGGGGAATTCTGGGAATTGAAGTCCACAAGTCTTAAAGTTCCCAAGTTTGGACAACCCTGCCTTACAGGATAATTAAAAACAGAAATAAATTACTGGATCCATATTCTGCATTTTACACTTCAGTCCATTCAGATGCCTTCCACTGTCTGGACATATAGTGATATTTCGTTCCAAGGGATTGCTTTTAATCATATTCTTTATACATGTTACTCCCTAGCTGTGGATTGTCACCTTGGTTTTATTTTGAAAAGTTCTTCCTGGGCAAGCCTGGGTCCATATGTATTTATCAAATTAGTCCATATCCCTTCCCAAAAGGATGAACTTCATGCACAATTAAAATTTGGAAAAGAACACCAATAGGCAAGAATCCAAGACTAAACCTGATTCCTAAATACCAAGAGTGCTATATATTTGCTTATAAATCCTCCCTTTCTCATGATGTAAAGGCAGTTCTTAATTCCCACGTGAAATTATAATATGAATCACGTTCTAGTAACAGCAAAGGAATCCATCAATGATGTAAGTTAGGAGCACCAACACATCAATCACAAAAGCATCAATGCATGGCAGGGAAAAAAAAACATTTAGGGTTTTTTTTAATAAAAAAAATCTGTATTTCACAAAATATTTTTTTTAAAAACCACACATTTAAAATAGCAATAAAATGACCATGACTTACTATTTTTAAACTATTCTCCAACTTCAGACAACAATACCTTGACAATGTAAATAACTCATTCTTTAACTCTATAAAATGAATGGAAAGGAACTAATAGATTAACAAAGGAAATGGCTATTTTAAGGTACCAAAAGTATTTATAGTTACTTTTGAGCACCACCATAAGATGGAAAAAATAAAACAGAATATTCGTATAACAAGTCAATGGTATTTCAATTAGTTTCCATAGATCAACGGCCTCCAACCTTTTGGGCACCAGGGACCGGTTCTGGGGAGAGAGGTTTTTCCATGGACCAGAGGGGGCATGGTTTCATGTACTTCCTACATCCCACAGATGAGCCTTTGCTTGTTTGTGCGGCCCAGTTTCTCGCTTGTTGCGGCCCAGTGCTGGTCCACGGGCCACAGGTTGGGGACTCCTGCCATAGATTATAGCCTATTACAGCAATAATTCTTCAGCCTTCGGTAGAAGAGGACAATGAAATTTCAATATTGGTGCTTACTTAGAATATTGTTATATGTTGTTCTAATATATTCTTTACAACTTAATGTAAGTATTGTTCTCATGGTTAGAAAAAAACTGGAAGTGAATTCCTTATTAAGATTCAGCTTTAAAAAAGGCAACAATTTGACTGCTTAATCATACTCCTGGCTTTGGTTTCTAATATTCTACATAAAACTTTATTGAGTGATTATGTGGCATGGAATTGTAACCATCACTGTTGCTTTAAGGTAAACTGAGGGGCTAGAATCCAATGCCAACAATAATGAAAGAAAGACATGCATCATTAAATGTAGTTTAGAACATTTATATGTTCTAGTCATAGCTAGAACACATAAATGGATAGAAAATGAATAGATAATAAAATATCTCTTTCAAACATAGCATATTGGTTGTATATTCACATAGTGATATCCATGAAATCCATGATGACTATTGCAATGGATTTCATCCAAAGGAAACAACAAAAATACATGAATAGATCTATTCATTACAAATGTAAGATCATAAAGAGCTGCGGATCATAAGAGCTGTGGTGGCACAGTGGTTAGAATGCAGTACTGTAGGCTACTTCTGCTGCCTGCCAGTTGCCTGCAATTTAGCAGTTTGAATCTCACCAGGCTCAAGGTTGACTCAGCCTTCCACCCTTCTAAGATGGATAAAATGAGGACCCAGATTGTTGGGGGCAATATGCTGACTCTGTAAACTGCTTAGAGAGGGCTGTATAGCACTATAAAGCAGTATGTAAGACTAACTGGTGTTGCAATTGTTATAAATGGAAGAATAATGACAACTGATTGTTATATTTTACAGCCCAATTTTAGTAACCTGTTTTAACCAAACATGTGTTATATTCTATAGAATAGCTTTTCTCAAACTTGGCAACTTTAAGATATGTAAACCTCAACTCCCAGAATTCTCCAGCTGGCATTTTAAGGCTGCCAAGATTGAGAAATGCTGCTATAGAGGTGCGTTTACTTCTCAATTATAAGTGTGGAAGCAGCTTTTGGTTAGCACTGTCCACAGGATCTTGCTGCTTTCATGAAAAAGACAAAAGTAGCATTGTGGTGTTGCACTGGAAGTTCTGCCCCTTTTAGTGGGCATGAAATGTTGTGCTGCACTTAGAGAAAAGGCAAGGCTTGCATTACAACATCACATCATTGTCTTCTTCAGTACGACCTCTTCTTGCCCCTGTTGCAGGCTTTTACATTATCATTCTTTACCAGGGGCAGCAGGCACAGCAGAAATGCTAATATAATATGCCATAATTGTAGTATTATGACCCTATTTCTCAGTATCACTTTTGAGGTTTTTTTTTTTGTCTTGGCTATGGATGGAGAAATCATTACTCACATCTACATATCAAATCAGATGATTGATTTATGTCATAAAGTTGAACATATATGAAACCCTAATAATTATTACTGTGTAAGTAGCAGATAGCAAAATGGACAATGCTATGAATAGCACTTCATACCACATCATAGTGCTTTACAGCCCTCTTTACAGCCGTCTCTAAGCAGTTTACAGCATCACCCCATTGCCCCCAATAATCTGGGTCCTCATTTTACCAACCTTGGAAGGATGGAAGGCTGAGTCAACCTTGAGCCTGATGAGATTCGAACTGCCAAATTGCAGGCAGCAAGCAGTCAGCAGAAGTAGCCTGCAGTACTGCACTCTAACCACTGCGCCACCACGACTCAACTGCATGTTGTTCATTTTTGAAAATCATTTTACAAAGCATTTGCTTGCAAACCTTAAATAGCTTAACAACCACTGTATCTTGGACAAAGTAATTGACATATTACTTGAAATATTTCTTGAATGGTTTAAAGAAAAGTTATGCTGTACCAAAGCAAAAGAAATCTCAAAGTATAGTGTTGAACAAATATTAATTTTAAGCTCAGAATAATCAAATTGCATTGCGGATAACCAAGGTCCTTAATGCTTACCAGCTGTGTGGTTTCCCCCCCCAAAGGCCTCTCCCATTAGATTACAAGTTACCCTTTCTAAACATCCACTGCCACAATACCATTAATAATGCCTGCTAAATTAGATTGTTGACATCTGCTGATTTTTGTCAATGGCTTTTTGGGATTTCCTTTGGTGGTCTCCACTGTTACTAGGAAATCATGTTTGCTGCTGCATTGACTAGAAAGAAGATAAGTAAAGCTTTGCAGTGAGTCCCTACTAAGAAAATAACTAAGTACTGTAACAGCTAATTCTCTGCCCACATTTCAGCAAGGGTTCCAAAACCACATTTGCATCCAGTCTCTTACATTTATTTACTTTTAAACTTTCAGCCTTACCTATAATACTGTAGCTGAGATTCTAGCTGCTGGATATAGATCTGCAGTTGGGACACTTTATGAGCTTTAGTTTCTAGCTCCTTTACTTTTCCAAGGCTGTTAACGATAACACATCTTGCTTCTTCAACTTTCTTCCTCATTTCTGCCTGCTCTCTTTTTAAGCTGTGGTTGCAATCTTCCAGGGCTATGAGGGCTTCGTGAGAATTCCTTAGTTCTTTCTCCAGTTCTTGGTTAAACTTAATTGCTTCTTCGATTTGTCCATCTCTAGAAGTTCGGATTAATTCAACTTCTTTTAGAACGCTCTGAAGGCACTTGGAAGTCTGAAATCGATTGTTAACCTGTTGTCTCCGGCTGCCTATAAAGCAAGTCCCATTTTTCTTATGCTGTGCGTGGCTCTTCCACAATCCCACCTACAATCATCAGGAGCAAAATGGAAAATATTAATTAGGAGCAGTCAAGGTTTTAAACCAACAGATTTCTTCTCAATGCAATTAATACATTTGTCTTCCATAAGAAGACAAGCTGAAGAATGATCATAATCCAATGGCTAAATTTAAAGCAAACGCACAAACATTCATAATGACTCCTATTTGCATTATTTCACACAGGAATTCTTGTGTGAATATTCTTAAATAGAGTTTACCGCAATTTTGGTTACCTAGATTACACAACTCTGTTTCCCAATGAAAATTTAGGGGCATGTTCCAGATTAAACAAACAAGGATGAGAGACATCAACATGTATTAAAACTGTAAAAATGAACCCAGTTACCTCTTAGAAAGGTGCATTTGGTTTTGAGTCAAGATGCATAAAATTGCATCATAAAATATATGCCAATATAAGTATGAAAGCTTATAAAACTGTAGTCTTAAGTAACTCTTAATTTCTTGGTAAAATAGGACACCATGAAACATTAAGTACTTTTTATTCTAATCCTGCCTAATTTTGTGATGTACTTGAAGTGTACCATCTTGCTGAGTCCTTCTGGGAATAGGGCAGCATACAAGTTTAATAAACCCTTAAACCCTTGCTGGCTGTGAATTATAGGAACTGAAATCTAATGCATCTGAAGATCACCAAGCCAGAGAAGACTGCTCTAGAAGTTATCAAAGTATCAACAAGTAGAACACATAGTTAAGAGTGCATGGTATGCAAACAAAATCTTGATTATGCCAATATTGTCTTCATTAAAGTAATACATTTAGAAAACATGTGTCTTATTGTGCTTTCAGTAAGGGATGATGAAGGCATCAATAAACCATGAAAAGCACAGTACTCAATCCAACATCACTATAATTCAAATTCAGCATTTTATTTCATAAAGGGTATACAGAGCAACACATCCCAAAAGCGCTCCAAAACTGTATAGAGCTGGAAGCAAGTGAAGATAGTAGATGGGTATCCAAGAGTTAATGGTCAATGGCTCTTTTGGGGGAGGGAGAACAAAGGACGCCTTACTGTATTATGGTTAGGGAGCAGAGGAAGGAAAGGATTGCTCTCATTGTCTTTGTTCCCAAGTGCAGAGTTTAATTTGTGAAAGGGAATATATAGACATGTGTTCTGTACACATGCTCTGAGTTTTGTTTTTTCATATACTGATATCGCCTACACTGTAAGTAAATGTGAGTAACCTATATTGTTTATTTATTGGATTTCAATACTGCCCATTTCACTAATACAACAACTCTGGGCAACTTATAATGTAATAAAAATATGACCTGTGCAGGCATACGAACCATGCAGAGGTTGCCTATGCCTACTTAGGTGAAATATATGCATGTGTTCCCACAAATAGTAGAGTAAAGCAAAAAAGCAGATATAATCCAGTTCCCTTCCATACCATTGCATTCACTGCAATACATTCAGAGAGGAGGAAGGAGTACATGGTTAAAATTATCCTTGACAGGAAGGAAGCTGAAAAAAGAAATTTGACTCTTAGGATAGTGGGTCATCAGTGGTGATGGATGAAAAGAGGAGCAGAAATTTGTTCTGGTTACCAAGAGCTATCAACAGTTACCAATAAGGCAAACAAATGAGATGAAATTGTGGCTTCAAAATAGAGTATATAATTCAGCCAAAGCATTATGCTATAGTTGGACTTATTCATTTATTTATGTATCAAACTGTTGCTAAATCTAGATTCACGCTGAAACAGCATACTAAAATAAAATAAAGTGTTACACAAGAAAAGTAATGTAGTGCTTTACAGAAACAAGCCAATAATGAAAATTATTTATTAGCTAACATTTGGGTTGTTGATGGGTTTGCTATGTATATACAGCTGTTCTCCTAACAGTTCCTTATTTCTTGAAATGTTAAAACTCATGGGGGATTTTTGGATTCAATCGCTCATTTAAAGTTAGTTCCCTGTGTGCTGTACAGCAGCAAGATCTGGCCAGTATTACAACATTGACAGGATGTAATAAAAGCTAGTTTCCTGTTTTGCCTGGCAGGGGGATCCTATAACAAAAACATGGTAGGTGTATTATTTGGGTACTCTTGGATGGCCCGTGAGACATTCTAGGAATAGTCTAAAGAAGAAGAGATGGGGGGAGGCATGAAGTAAAGGAGTCATGTTGCTACAAGTAGTAGAGACCCAATGAATAGGAGAGCCACAGGAAAAGACAAGAGGTACATTAAAGTTCCATCAAAAATTGTGAAAAAATATATTTGCATATATTGTAGGTTTTTTGCTCTTGGTAGGAATATATCCATCTCCAGATGAATGTAAAGAACAATTTAAAATTAGAAGTAGATAAAGTGGTTTAGTGGAAAAAATGTTTTGATTTATTTACTAAGTCGCAGAGTTATTCTAAAAGGCAAAATATAAGCTTATAAAAATGCTTCAAACTAATCTACTGAATTCTGTAGACTTTTGTGAAATAAATCTGCATTTGATAACTGCTTCAAACAGATTTCAGCTTATGTACTCACCTTTTGGTGAGCAAAGACTACTGACCTTACCAACAATTAAATTTTAATGGGCATGTAAATGGCATTGAATTGTTAAAGGCACTAAAGTCAGTGTGTTTAATTCTGCATTGGATTGAAGTTTTACTAAAACCATGGAATTGTTTATCACTTTGAGCTATGTTCTGGGGACTCAACCTTTTTATATGAAAAAGTGTCAATATCCTTGTTATTGCAAAGGTGAACAGGAATGAAAATCAATACACGTCTTCAAATATTAATATTACTGAATTTACATAATGTATTCTGTTTCAATAGAAAAATGCATATTCTTTCTTCATCTTTGCCCTGCATACTTTATTTGGGTTTTCCTTCAATCCAGTCATAGGTAGGATTTGCACATTGAAGTCAATGAATTTTCCAATGGAACCAAAACTATACTTATTCACAAATATATCAAAGTCAGAAAATCCATGAAAGACTGCTTCACAATGAAACTTCAGAAGTGCTTATCTTTGACTGGACAGGTTCATTACTTTGTTGCAAAACTTGCAAACACAACAAGAGGCAATTGAGATTATTCTACACAGATTTTTGCAGGTAGATCCAAATGAACCGTTTCATCTGAAACATGCTTCTCTGAATTTCTAGTAGAGAGCTGTCCACACAATGTTCATCTATACCAGTGGTTCTCAACCTGTTGGTCAGGACCCCTTTGGGGATTGAATGACCCTTTCACAAGGGTCACCTAAGATCATCGGAAAACACATATTTTTGATGATTTTAGGAACCGAGACACCAATTTTATGGTTGGGGGTCACCACAACATGAGGAACTGTAATAAAGGGTCGCGGCATTGGGAAGGTTGAGAACCACTGATTTATACCGTATATGAAGACCACAGTGTTTATGTGCTATGTTGTCCTTTTACCACTGACCAGCAAGACTTCAGAGAAGACAAAAGCTAAACAAAGTATTTGTGCATCAGCCCCAAAGCCAATAACTGTCAGTAACTTCAGGCAAACTTTGTTGAAGAGCCTTTTCAATTCAACACAATATAAACAGAACCAGGTTTGAATGGAAATTAAAAAGTCACAAACTTTTTAGAATGATTCCTGTTACAAAAACAGTTGCTAACACTTAAGGATGGAAAGACATCGGGACTCTTGAACTTGCTATTTTCTTAATCAAATAGGATACATATTACTCAGAACATACCAAACAAGACCCTCCTATAAAGCTCAATAGAGGAACTGCATTCTCCATATGACTTGTCAGGAAAAAAAACAGGGCTGCTTCTTTGTCACAATTTACTCTTTCCCCTTCGTTTTTAACAGCCCACCATGGCAATAAAACTCACTCCCTAGTTTGTAATAATGGTAAGGGTTGGCTTTGGCAGTTCACAAAAACCCACCAAAGTCAAAGCTTTATACACAACGGATCTTCCCACAGTGCATTTCTTCACTTGTTTGGCAGGGGAGTGTCGGTTGGGAGAGCCTGGAGCCTCCCAGCATTACCCCATTCCAGAAGTGGTATCCAGCAGGTTCTGACCAGTTCTGGAGAACCGGCAGCGGAAATTTTGAGTAGTTCAGAGAACCAGTAAATACCACCTCTGACTGGCCCCGCCCCCATCTATTCTCTGCCTCCCAAGTCCCAGCTGATCGAGAGGAAATGGGGATTTTTGCAGTAACCTTCCCCTGCAATGCCCACCAAGCCACACCCACAGAACCGGTAGTAAATGTTTGAATCCCACCACTGTCCATTCTCTTTTAAGTTGTCCTGAAAGGACATAGAAATGCCAGTGCGGGTTTCCCTCCCTTCTAAACATTTCAATTGGCTTCAGCATCTTTCCCATCGCTGGCTGCAGAGGAGGTTGCTAACTAATAAGGTAACTTACTACTTTGCTGTAAGTTCGGCACATCCAAAATGTGCCACCTAAGGCAGCCACCCTACTATCCCCTAAGGATAGATAGGCCACAGGAAGGCATTTAGGACATTCTCCAGTACACTTTCCCTTCCTCCTGTCTTTAGGTGCCCTTTCTCAGAGCAGACTGGGTGGCACCTTTTGGGTGAGCATCTAATGTCACTCAGTATTTTTCACACTCAGCTGCCATCTCGTTTGAAAAGCGTTTAATTAAGAACACTCTGGCGTGGTTGGGGCTCAGCTTGGGACTTTCACGCCCACCCAGGCAGGGTAACCGAAGTGCGGGCAAGGGAGGCTCAAAAGCTCCAATGCGCACTCTTTCCGATCCCTTCGGGCTCCGCGGCGCAGCAGGACTTCCCCGCCCGCTCACCTGGAGCGCTAAGCACCGGGCATCGCTGCTCTGCAAAGCCGCCCTCATGTCCTCCACCAGTTCGCGCAGGCTGGCGTTCTCGTCCTCCAGCTTGACGATGCGATCCTCCGCTTGCTCCAGCGCCACGATCTCTTCATAGCATTCCCGGGAGCACGACCCGGGCGGCGAGGAGGAGCACGAGCGGGCGCCGCTGCTCCGCGGGCAGCCTCTGCCCGCCGCCCTGCGTCCCGCCGCAGCTTGCTCCCGGCGGCGGCGGAGCGGGCTGCGGAGGCGAATCTGGGTCTCGATGTGTTCGCTCTCCTTGCCCAGAGGTAGTCTGTTCACCCCCGGGACGCCCTGGTCCGGCAGCTTGCAGCCGGCCTTAGTGCTGAAGTAGCCGCACAGCTTGGCATGGAACTGTCGGAAAGTCAGCTCGGCCGAGAGGTTCTCGCAGAGGCCAGCGCATTCCTCCGGGTCGGCGGCCGCCTCCCCCTCGTCGTCTTGCAGCCCCAGCACCAGGCAGAGGGTCTGGAAATCCTCGCCGGGGATCTTGCCTTCGCCTTCGCAATCCAAGTGGTGGAAGATCTCCTGCAGGTACTGATCCAAGCCTGTGGCCAGCACGATGATCTCGTTCTCTACCCCCCGGTCCAGCCCGTAGTGGTAAGCCAAGGCGCTCACCAGCCACTGGGTTCGGCGGGCCGGCCGGCTATAAGGATCCCACACCTCAGGCGGATCCATCCTTGGGCGCTCCCGCCGCCGCCCCCTCGCCGCTCAGCTCGCGCTTCTCTTCAACCATTCTTCCCTGCTTGAATCGAGTTTCCCCGGGTCTGGGTGGGCGGTGTTTCCTGAGCCAGCCACGCCTCCTTCTCGTGTTCCTCCCCGCCATCGACGCCCCGCCTCCTCCTGTCCCCGAGAGCTGAGGGGCTAGGTGGGTGCCTCTTCTAAGGCTCTAGAGGTGCGAGTGAGCATGCGTCGCATTTCTTCTGTGTAAATGAGTTTAAGGGAGGGTCTTTCTTACACTCGGAATTAGAGTAGCGCTTCTCAACGGAAGGAGTCGTAAGGTACACTAAGTTTTTTTGGGGGGTGGGGGACTTTCAAGAAAAGACATTGATTGTGTCGAGGCCATCTCCAGAAGTTCAGTCTTTGCCTTATTTCTACTGTATGTCAGCTTTTGCCTCGATTTATACAAGCATTTACAAAAGAAGTCCCGATCATAACAGTATAAATCATATAACATAAATCAAATTAAGAAAGTAAATAAAAATGACAATATTACAAAGAAGTGCTAGACAAACATCAGACAAATCACATAAGAACACAAGAGCTTCCAAGTGTAGCCAACATTTCTGCTTTTGCTGTAACTTGTGTGTGTGTATTCCCCAGCAGGTGTATTTTTCTATAGCTACCAGCAGAGCTGAAGAAGCTCTTGAATGAGAAGCCAAACATCTTCAAAGAAAAACCAGAAAGTCCAGTTGCCTCTTGAAAAAAAGCACCTTTGGGACAACCATGACCTGGATGACTGAGAATCTCCATAGACACCTGCCCAAAACTGTTTGTAGTTGCAATATTTCATAAAGAGGCAAATCTGCTGTCCTTAACGTTTTAATGGAAGTTTTCTTTTTCATTTCCTTTTCCCAAAACTAAATGAAAATTATTCAAAAAATAAGTCAATTTTCACATCATACAAACAATTATCAACCAAGGAAGGTGTTTGGCATTCAGATGAAGAAACAAAGGATGTTTAGAACAGGTTTTTTTTTATTTTTCAATACATCTAGCACAGTTCCTGCAATTTTACTTTAGGCATGCTTTCTTTGTCAAAGTTCAGTTGCTAAGTCATGCCATTCCCTCCACGGCCCCATGGACCATAGCATTCCAGCCAATCCCCTCCCCGACAACTCCACTGAGTTTGCCAAATTCATGTTTGTTATGTTGATGACATTATCTAACCTCTGCTGTCCTCTTCTCTTTTTGCTTTCAATCTTTCCCAACATCCTCCCTGCACATTAGGTAGCCAAAGCAGTTAAGCTTCAGCTTCAGGATCTGTCCTTCTAAAGAACAGTCAGAATTTCCTTTAGGATTGACTTATTTGATCTCCTTGCAGGCCAAGGGGTTCTTAAAAGTCTTCTCCAATACCAGAATTTGGAAGCATCAGTTCTTCAGCACTCAGCCTTCCATACGGTCCAACTCTCATAGTGATACATTACTACCGGGAAAACCATGCTTTTGATTATACAGACTTTTTGACTATACGGACCAAGGTGATGTCTCTGCTTTCTAATATGCTGTCTTATTTCTCAAAGGGCGGGATCTAATTTTTAAATATGTGTCATTGCAGAAGACACATATTTTATTAAACAGTTCTTTTTAACCTTTCTGATTTTGTCTGCTCTCCAAAGAACTGCTCAGCCAGTTGAAATTACTGACTGATACTGGAGTTTTTGAATCACAGGTCCCAGCTTTGCAAGGAAGTTCATCTAGTTGTTATTTGATCTGAAGCATATCACATCCACAGCAAATGTCTGTGCTATTAGGGAAATAGTTTTTTTTAATAACAACACTAATAATAGTCAAACTTCCTCTCAGAATTTCACAAATTATTGAAAGACAACAGGTACTTAGGTTAAGACAAGTTATATTCTGACAAGGATGACATCGTTCCTTTTTTTAAATATCTGCCCACACTGTTTTGTGACATTTTTCTTGATCCTAATAAATAATACCTTTATCAGTAATAATATTTGGATTCCTCCTTTTATGGCTCAATACAAAAATGATTGCTTTGCACCAATTTACATAGACAAATGAACAGGACAAGCAATAATTAACTCAAGAGAGAAAAGCATGAAGACTGGCACTAATTTAAAATTTTCTAATCTAATAATAGGAAAAAAATCAGCAGAAAACTGTACATAAAAAATAAAGGTGGTTCTGAATAAATATATCAGTTAATTGGATGACTAAAGAAATCCAATGAAGATTTCACATTCCTACCTGACCACAAGTTTCCCTGGGTAGTTTTGCATTGGTTTTTGTCAGCCAATGGACAACACAAGATGGTTAGCTTGAAAATAAAAATCCTAGGTCTCATACATTATGTTTTGCACCACACCTACCTAGAGAAAAAGGTAAATATGAATGCAAATAAATAAACCTGATATATATTTAGAAAAAAGGGAAATAAAACCTCAAAAGAGACAAGAAAACAAGAAAGGAGAACTTCATTTCTGGATTACGCATAAATCACTTGTAAGTGCTTTATATAGGCACTAAATATAGGCAACTATCTTAGAATCTGAAATTCAGAGTTAAAAAAAAAATCAAGCCTTTTAAGAACCTTAAGCAATGGCCCCAGATTTATGGTATAATCCTGAATCCTGCTATTCAGGAACAGCTAAGAAAATGGTTTTCCAGGAATAAATCTGGCTTGGTGGTAGGAAGATTGAAGGGATGCCAAAGCTATTATTACAGAGGGCAGTGGCCAAATAATTTGGGCAAATAGCTTTGAAAAGAACTTGTAGAGACAAGACTTAGCCTGAGGTGTTAAGCAGCAGCATCACCACCACCCCTCCCAATTGTGAGCCTTAATTGGTGATTAAAAATTGTAGAATTGGTCTTGGTGTCATAAAGTGGCACAATTTTTGCTGCTGAACAATGAGAGTCCCCAAAAGATTAGTAGCTATATCACTCCAGGTGGAATCCTATGCTGGGCAGCCCAGCATAAGATTTTTTAATGGCATAAAATATTCTTAAATAAACCAAGGCCTCAAAGCACGTCATAGAAAAAGGAAATAGTTCTGGCCATAGAAATCACAAAGAACAAACGAAACTCCACCACTGCTGAACCAACTGAATGAGCGAAAGCAATAGGCCTGCAAGACTCAGAGTTAATTATATGTTTGGGAGAATAATATTTCACAAAAAAATTTAATGACTCCTGGTTGCAGCCAAGAAAATACAGGTAGATGCTCACCTGCCTATTTCTCAAAAGGGAACCTGCTGCTGATAACAGGATTGCTTGAATTCTCCTGCGGTTCAAATATTACTATGACCTTTGTATCCATTGGATGCTTCAAAATAGCTTATTTTTCTCATCCTACCTTGGATTTGCTCAAGCAGTTCTTTTCTATTACTGGCAATGTGGCTTCTTTAAGTCTGACAGGCAATCCATTGGCAGACTCTCTCAATGGAATTGTTAATCAATTTAATCAGTGGAGGGAAGTATTTTTTTTCCCTTTTCATTTCATTATGCCCGGGATGTATTGACAATAGCAATCAAGCCTTTTTGTTACGAATGGTTCCGTCAGACTTTTCCAGCAAGCCTATTTTCCTCAGAATAAAATACAAACAAAACAAAATCACTAAGGTAAGGTTTTTAGGAACAGCAAGTGATTATAAGATTTTGCACCACATAAAATTATCATCATCCGGTCTGGCTTCTCTAAAGCAAAATGGAATTGCATGCAGTGGAATAACAATATGAGAAGGAGTCTAAAACAATGCTAGCATATAACATCTGGAACCCAATTTCTAATTATTCTTGCTGTTGTCAAGAAAGAAAAAAAGAGTCACTTGCTTCCTTCAAATGGTAATATGTAGATTTCCAAACTTAAGATACCATTTTTTTCACCCAGTAGTCAAATTATAACAAGGAATCTGCTGCTTGTGAAATTTTTATATTGGAGGGTCAGAAAATATGGGATCATCACACGGATGAACAACTTCTGCAGTTCTTCTCCAATAAATTAATGATAGGGTATTTACTGCATACAGGAAATTATGCATAGATGGAAAATATGCAGAGTTGGAAGCTAACAGGGCTTTCCAACTTAACTTTTAAGAAAATTGTTTCTACCTTGAATAGCCGGTTAAGGAAAGCAGTGGCATAGCTTGGCGTATATTCTGGTGTGCACATCAGTCATGTGGAACTAGCCCATATTTAAGGTATCACTTTGTGAGAATTGAAAAGTTGTCCTTCAATATATACAGCACATAGAAAAGAAACACAATGGGAAGCCAATTATCTTTTAGGTCATAACCAGCATTATTTATTTTGTCATTTAGAATCTCCTGGAAATTGCTTCCTATACAAAATAGTTTTTCCACTATAATTATAGTGCATTGGAACTTTCCGGTATCTCAGATAAAAATGAATATACCTTTTCATAATACTAAAGCTTCTTTAACTATGTGCTTATGAGAGACATAGTTACATTGCATTTAAGAAATTGCATATTGGCTCCGTTAACTGGACCTTTAAAAACCCTTTTAACTTCTGAAAATATAAACATTCTCATCCATTGGCAATGGCATTCAAATGTTTAGTGGGACGGATGTATCAAAGCAAGCATTTAAAAGCAAAATGCTTGCAGACTTCTTATAGCAGCACCGTTCAAAACCACAATAAAATTCATCAGTGTTTTGCATGAAAGATCAAAGTGGATGATTCCAATGTTCATTGCTGGAGTTGGTTAGAAAAGAAGTCCTGCTTTCTTGCAGCTCTGTGCTCCTTTCTAGCATTGCAAGAAGAAAAGCTGTTGCCTGAAATGAAAGTATGTTTTCTCAATATAAACAATTGATATTTTATTGTCTTTTATTAATCTAGGTGAAACGGTAACAACCATGTTTCCTCGAAAATAAAACTGAGTCTTATATATTTTTTGCCATCAGAAAAGGTACCAGGTCTTACTTTTGGGTGGGTGTTATCCACTGCCTCATCTCACTTGACACCCCTGGCT